CACACAGCACAAATACAGCGGGTTAGGGTATGCAGAGGGGCAGCATGCGACCGGGTACGCACACAGCACAAATACAGCGGGTTAGGGTATGCAGAGGGGCAGCATGCGACCGGGTACGCACACAGCACAAATACAGCGGGTTAGGGTATGCAGAGGGGCACTGAAGGCAATATGGCCACATACAACCTACGAAAAGCAAATGTAAGTAAATTTTTAAAAGGTTGCTGTGAGTTTTTGTACGATGATTTGCCATATTTTTAGAATCTGAGACTTTTGCCTGTGCAATGTCAAAAAATTTGATTCTTTTACATTTGGAAATCGGTTTGGCCTATTCATCAAAAAGAACCAGTTCAAAAGAAGGACTTGACAAATCTTATGTTCTTATGTAATCGGACATCGCTATCGTTCACTTGGATAGCTGTTTTTGTGTGCTATTAGGGTTTCCCGCTAAGACCATATTTCGTTGAGGTTCGCATGGTGTTTTTCTCTCCAGCTGAATATGAAGCACATACAAATGTAATTCTGCATTGTATTGGACTTGGGAACTAATATATCAATCGTGTTAGAACATGTCTGCGATGTGATATCACGGATTGTAGCGGAACTGACTGTCTTTACCCTTACTCCAGAATTGCAGGGTCCATTGAGCTAAGACTGTAGCATTCCTGGCTGGTGGCTCTCTATGGGATGCCCTGGCTCACTCAGACATCAGCATTCACAATCCAGAGCCCTACTCAGGCAGCTGTAAAGCCCTCCTCCTCTTCGCAGCTGCCAAATACCTCTCAGCTGCTGCATGTGACCGAAATGCGGTGGTTTTTAATGCATTTGATTATGTTGTCCAGTCAGTCATGCTTTTCTGTGTGATGTCACACGAACCACTTGTTCCTGAGCTGCATCTTTTTAGTACAGAGCATATGATATTGTGGCATTGATCTGGCACCGTACACTGTGTGCACGCACACACGCATACACACACACGGTCACGAGTGTTATATGGTAAAATATAAATATCAACATTCCTTAAAGGCAGAATGAATTATTAATGATTTGAACACGGGTCAAAGTCCCTGGGGATTGACCTACTTTTGTACTCTTGATAAAGGTATTTAACCTAATTTGCTTCAGTATAAATGTGCTGCTGTAATTAATGCAAAAATGCTGTGTAGGTTTCTTTACACTGCAGTTTCTGTTAAGTAACCAAAAAATGTCCCTTAATGGAAAAGCTCAATAAACTGACAGTAAAGCAGAAATTCAGCAATGACACAGCAGTATAATGTCAATGGTTCATAATGAAGCATTGTACTCATCTCTATAATATGAACCAAAAATGTCCAGATTGTTGTAAAATTATGCTGTATAGTATGAGGCTCAGATTTGTCTCATGGCCTCAGTTACATTATGTTTTAAAAAATGTAGGTATGCAAAGAAGCTTGCCTGTGGTTACAGGATATCAGGGTGACCGCATTGAAATTAATTGTAGTCAATTTCCAGAATGACTTGCAAGGTTTTAGAATTACAAAGCAGATTTATAAAGTCCTTTGTACCTTGTCCACACGATCTGACTCAGTTGCCTCATTTGTTTTAATCAGCTTCGGATGAGACCATCCCACGCCTCATTTCACTGTTGAACCATATTGAGAGACGCGGTTGCTCACCGGAATGCCCGTCTCTCTGCACTCTTGGGAGATTGTCGTCTTACACACCATTTTCCAATGACTCCAGCTGGCTCTATCAGTGGTCTGCTCGGTACTGCCAACTCTTATCTGTACTGCCAACTCTTATGTGTTAGCCTGAATCTTGCTATCGTACTTGCCAGGACCAGTCTAGCTGAAAGACCTGCGACTGCTCTGGTTAGAGTTCCGTATTTCTGGTCGTCAATAGACTCGAAACTTTAGTCCGGGTTTTAATTGTGCTCTACTGTCAGGTAGGTGCATGTAATGTTTGTGTTTCTTCTCCCCTTCAAGGATCATCCATGAAGATGGATACTCAGAAGATGAGTGCAAACAGTACCGAGCAGTGGTGTACAGCAACACCATCCAGTCCATCATGGCCATCATCAAGGCCATGACCAACCTGAAGATTGAATATGGGGAGCCTACCCGGGCGGTATGTGCTTTTGTGATGGCCAGAGGTGATATCAATGAACTGATCAGCGTGCACTAGATTATTGACATAGATTCCCCTGTTGCAAACTGGTCTGCGGTAAGAATAAAGTCAAATGCAATATAATGCATTAAGTATGAACTGCTCTGCTACATTTACCTAATGCTTCAATTTATAAATGACTTAAATGCAAGTGTAGTATATTTTAATTCAGTTTCTCATATATATATATATATATATATATATATATATATATATATATATATATATATTTTAAAGAATTTCATCATTAAATTGCACACGTTCCCTAACTTATTTAATAGAACCAAAGTTGCAGCCCCCCCCCCCCGAACCTGGTTCCAAATGAAAGATTACAGGAGGCAGCCATGTTGACTTAAGCTGGGGGCGGGGCCTGTATTTCTTAAGTGTGCATCATGCAATGGAAGTACAGAGCAGTAATTACCCCTAGAGATTGGGGAACTACTCACCGTGCTACTGGGGGACAACACGAGTGCCAAAGCCAGCTTCATTCATCTCCCACACGCCATTTAATTACCTTCGTAATGCAGTATTTAGAATATCCAGATGTCATTATACATTTTTTTTTTAGTTTATCAATTTATTCTCCTGAACTTAACCTTGTTCAACCCAGCAGTTTGTATTCACTTATTTGTATAAATGTCTGTCACAAGATATAGAAGTAGCTGAGAGCATTGCTGCCGATAGTATTTTACTATTATTAGTTTTGGAGGATTAGAATTTGTTTGTGTGTGTGTGCGTATCTATATAATGCCTTTGAGATTGTAAGAATTTAAGATGCATGCAGATAGACTAAGGCACCATACACACCTCTGATATGATTGATAGAATTATTTTATTCTTTTCCAGCTGGCAGAACACATTTCACAGAGATTTCTTTGGCAGAATCTTGAATCCATGCCCAGTGTAAATGATAAACTAGGCAACCTTTCTCAATTTTTTTTTTCTCAGGTGTTATAGAAGTAAAGTGTGTTTTTATTTATTTATTTATTTATTTAAATAAACTTAAACGCAGTCAATGGTGGCAGGTTTTGTTGTTCTGCTCTTGGTTATTGCCTCATCGCCCTAAATGAAGAAGTGATGGAACCAAGAATTCGTCTAGCTGCTTGCACTGTTTTATTTTCACTTCCTGTTTTAGTTTGCCACAGGGAAAAAAGTTGGTTGCACAGATGCATGCTAAAACCTCCCAAGAAGTGAAAATCCCCAAAAGAAATGATCTTCAACAAGCACTTCTGTGTTTGTGGTGGGCTGGCTTCTGGCTGCACTGGCTGTATAACATTAGTTAATCATTTCAGATGTCTGGCGGTTATCTGCTTATTTACCTCCAAGCAGCTGCTACCTCTGATGCCCTGCAGCTTTGAGAATTGGGTCTGAGATGCTTGCAGCAGCTTTTCCATCACGCCGGCAGAACATTCAGGGCTGCTTTTTTATTGTTATCTGCCTTTGTGTCTCTCAGCTATTACCTTGTATACAAACAGGTTTCATCACCCTGTAGCTTTGACTTCCATTTGTAGATGTGTAGTAATGGTGCACTCCATTTGTAGATGTGTAGTAATGGTGCACTCCATTTGAACTGGAAAGTCGGAATCTCCTAGTTGGAGATTTCAATTGGAACACCTCCTGAAGTCGGGATTCCAATTTTCACCTCTGCACCCCTAAACTCAGAATTCAAGATGGCTGATTCCATCGTCAACAGAAGTTAAAGCTGTAATTTTATGCTGTTTATTAGTACATATGTCTTTTTTTTTTCGATGTGTCATTAAATTGGTCGTACACACAGTACTGTCCGACCGCTATCTGTGGACGTGGTGCTGCGGTGTTTGTTGGTGCAAATTACCATGTAATGCATCATCAATAACTGTTATTGCAAACATTGGCTAACAAAGAACATGACTAGAACTGGTATTGCTATAGGGCTTTCCAACTTGATGTACTGGAACTTGGTTAGCTCAGGTTATTCCCATCTCCATCTTCCGACCCCTGAGGTAAACAAAACGGAACATAATCTGTCTGTTAACTATTAAGCTGGTCTGTGATTTAAGATGGCTGCACAATCCCGGCATTGCCTGTCACTCAAGTGGTTTGAGATCAGATTATCTCCACGATAATTAAATTGTAACATTGTAACATGATATTCCAAGTGTGAGGATTTGCTTATTCTGTTTGGCATACTCTTATTGGTTCCTGCATAAGGTATATGATGATGCTACATTTCATTGTTAGTTCTTAATTATCACTACTGGGCTGTTATTGACATAATGTTTGTGGCAGAGAAGGCAGGTCACAGACTTTAACAGCACCGTCCTCTACCGCTGTTAATGTGTCTTGTGACTGTGATTAGGGGGTTGTGGTAGATGTTCTCCTATCTAAACACCTTACAGCCTGGTCAAGGGACCTGATGTTGAACGGTGTGGCTGTTATGTAACATGGAAGCAGCCCCATCCCAGCAGTGTTTCCAGAAGGAGCCTGGTCACTCTGCAGAGGATTGATGTGTTTCATACAGTGGTGGTCAAGGCGCCATGACACTAACTAGCAATTGGGTTATCTGGGGCTGCCATATGTCAGCCCCGCATGGCTCCTCACGCCGCGGCTCGTGCCAGGCCTCGCTCCTGCGATGGTTACTGGCTCTGCTAGCCAGGAAAACAGAAGGGTTTGTCTCATAGTACCCTGGCATCGAGTCTTAGCACAAAAAGTCCTGAGCTTGGGACATCTGACCTCCACTGAATAATTTCTTCCGAAGAATGACGTTTGATTTTTTTTTCACGGTGCATTAAAGTGGAATAGGAGCGCCAAGATGGCATGGCCACCTGGTCCTGCGACACTGGCAGCCTGGAAATTCACCAGTGTCCCAGTGATAAGCTCTTTGTCAGACCCCCTGCAATTTCCTTAAAGCCTCGTCAATTGTTCTTGTGTCTGATAAGCCATCGTTACCCCGAGGAGAGTTAATTTCTGCTGAGTCCTCTCCACTTCACTGCCACATACTTGTGTCTTTGCACAGCAGAGGCAGTTATATTATAAAATATTAAGCTGTTTGGAAAGAAGAACCAGATTGGGTTTTCATTCTTTATATTGTTTTCAAGATTTTCTTCCTCTATTCTGCACTAGGATACTTCTGCTGTATATTTAAAAATCTGTTAAATATATTTAAGATTTCTTTGTACAAATTAAATAAGAAATTTCAATGACTTTTTATGGGGTAATATAAATTTTAATCCCCTATGTTATGGAAGCACACAATATGTAATCTCGTATATTTGAATGTGTTCAACCATTTGAAGTTGTATAGTTTAATTTCAAAATATATGCAACCAGGGGCTCATTTAAGGAGATGAAAAACAGGTAGATTTAAACACAATTTTTTGACTATTTACTTGCTTGACATGCTTGGACCTCACATACCTTTAGTCATAGAATGTTTTGTTGTGAATGAATGAGCACAGATATATATTTAAAATTGTACCTTTGGAAAACTCTCCTCTGTGTAACTTGCGTTCGCCTGTCGCACTACCACAATAAGATATGTTCACCTGCAGTTATTCATGTTTGACTTTGCCTGTGCCGTGATTCTGTTGCTCACTGGCCTTGTTTATGGGGTTTTTATGTGGAGTTTGAAGCTCTGACCTGCTCTACGGCCGCCCTGATTCTCTCTCACTACAGGATGATGCCCGCCAGCTGTTCGCCCTGTCCGCTACAGCTGAAGAGCAGGGGCTGCTTCCGGATGACCTGTCCAACGTGATCCGCCGTCTGTGGGCAGACAGTGGGGTACAGAAATGCTTCACGCGCTCCAGAGAGTACCAGCTCAATGACTCCGCTGCATAGTGAGTGGAAGTGTTAAGCGCTAATCATTCGTCTTTTGCTGTTGGCGCTTGGTGAATGATATTGGCATTTCATTGCACAAATGGCTGACTAGTCCTCTCCATGGGTAAATCAAATGAATTGACATCAAGAGGGTTATCTTTCCAATCCCTATGAGCACAATCATGTATTCCTTTTGACAGGAGATATGCTGTCCTGTTGGGCACTGCTAGTCAGTCAATGGAAAAGTTAATCAGTCTGTTTACATCCTAGGAATCAGTGTATTTGGACAGCATATGGATTCTCTGGTTAATAGCTTCATGAGAATACATCTTGTATTGTCTGATAATGAATAAGAAATAAATCTAATTTTTTTACATATCTACTTCTGTCCCATGGCCTCTTCCAGATATTGGTGTCTGAAACTGCAACAGTAAACACAGAATGTTGGTTGAATTTACACAAGCTTTAGATGATCGATCACGAACTGGACAAAACAGGGGCTTTTTGTTGACCGAGGATTTTCTCTGAGGCAAACGCAGAGATGCTTTGTGTCTTGTGGTTGACTGTGTCATATATAGATGTGGCAGCTCAGTGAGGATTGGGGCAGGATGCTGCAGGCAGTCGGCCTTTTCAGGCAGCTCAGTGGAAAATGTGCTTACAGAGATGCAACAACCTCTTGTAATGTAAATGGGGACAGAAAAAACAGAGTTCCTGGCTGAAGTTATGTCTCCCTCTATGGCCATTTTTCACTGAAACCCAGAAATCTGTTCAAAGCTGGGAGCTAATAACTGTGCCAGTTGCCTTCATTTTTCTTGGGTTTTGCTTAATAAATACTCTGCCTCTGAGCTACAATGGGTGCTTCAGAATTGATGGGCCTGCAGCTGGATAATATAGTTTCACAAATAAAGCAGATTATGCTTTTTTAAAGTTTAATCAGAACTTTTTAATCCTCCCTCCAATTGGGCCATTAGGCACCCTGACAGCTGGAGCTGAAGAGGATGTCGACTTGCCCTTCGATGTCTAACCGCTCTAACTGTCTAACCAGAGGCCAGATTCCAGCTCACTATCACTCTGGGTGCAGTGAAAAAACTATGGGCTGCCAGCAGCTGTTTAACAATCACTCACATGCTAATAATTATGTCTTTGGCTAGCCTGCTGTGGTATTTATTTCTGAACATTGGCGAGACAAATAAACTGTTGATTATCCATTTAAAGAAATGTTTTTTTGGGAGAATAGAATATACCAATGGAAAAATATAAAACTGCATTAACCTTTGTTAATGACTCTACCCATGGCAATTATTTTACAATGTACCTTAGTCATATATATATATATGTGTGTGTGTGTGTGTGTGTGTGTGTGTGTGTGTGTGTGTGTGTG